GGGAAAAAAAGCCTCCTGGATCACAACAGAATACGGTCTGACGGCATACTGGCAGGTGAGCCCCGAGAAGGAAGGACCGTGCAGGAGCTGCAGCAATGGAGCAGGTGACATTGTGACAGGCTCAGAGCCCACTCGACAGCTGCCAACCATACGCAGGGCCTGGTTGACTGAAAGATTTAGTAGGAGTGTGAGCCCATCAACCACAACACATCCAACCTTCTTTGACCTGCTGCCCCTTTGCAGAGAAGAGATAACCCAATGGCCCCTGGCAACGAACCACTCTTCTGCCGTAAACCCAATACCAAGTTCCACTGGCTGTCCGACTCACAGCGGCCCTCCAGGACAGCGCAGGCTGTGACTCCCTACAGGAGCGGAAGGGCTCATCTTTCTCCCGCGGAGCTGGGTGGTGGTTTTGAAGTTATAGTTGGATAGCCCAATCTAAACCAGTGCGACCAGGACTCCTCAATCACAGCCATAATCCAGGATCAAGTACAGGTAGCGCCACCCTCCCCGCCCCACCCCCCAGTCGTTCTAGCACCCCCAGTGCCCCCAAGGAAGGCGGTACCATGCCCTCTGAGGAACACGGATCTAGAGGAGGAAGCAGTGTGAGGGGCACAGTGACACAAAGTATCCAAGGCCGCACTGTGAGTCATGCAGGGAAGGTGTATTTAATACCGTGCTGGCTTTGAAATAAATAAATCACACACACACACACACACACACACACACACACACACTCACACTCCAAACTCGCTGCCATCAAGTCGATTCAGATTCACAGGGTCCCTTAAGACGGGGCAGAACTGCCCCTGTGAGACTAATTCTTCAAGGGAGTTGGGAGCCCATCATTCTCCCAAGGAATGGCGGTGGCTTCGATTGCCTGGTGCTGGGATCCGCGTGGAGTCAGGCAGCAGGCGCTCTGCCCTGCCGGCCTGGGCTGGCCAGGTGGAAAAGCCAGAGCCTTCTACAAACTGCTTTTGTGGGGCAAGAGCTGACGTTCGTCATCAGACAGCAGAGATGAAGATGGAAGAAAATAAAGGAGCGGTGGCTTCCTGCTCTGTGGGAGGGGCGGGGAGGCCCTGACTGGTGGCTGGAGGGGAGCGTGACAAGAAGCCCAGGCCCCTCCCGGTCTCCTGCAGCTGCAGGCCTCCCAGCAGCCCCTGGCCGGCCTCACCTTGTCCTTAAAGTCAGCGTGGTTCTGCAGGATGGCGCGCTGGTAGGTGCCCGTCCGCACGTAGTCCTGCATCATGTTCTGCTGCTGCGACAGGTAGCCATAGAACTGCAAGAGACACACCAATGGCAGCGGGGTGCCAGGGGCAGAGGGCGCAGGCCCTGGGCCACCACACACCACACGGGAGGCCGCAAGCTCTCTGCTGCCACCTGCTGGACGGTAGCCCTTGGGAGGCCCACCGCCACCATCATCATCTTGGTCACCTTAGCTGGCCAGCCCCAAGGGCGAGCAGCCTGGACCTGAACTCAGCCCCCCAGGAGAACTCAAATTAGCCACGGGTGGGGTTCTGGGACCAGGGGTCTCAAGGGCAGGAGCAGCAGAGGGGCAGAACGCTAGGCCTCAGCGCGCCAGGCAGGTGAGGTGCAGTCTGTCTCTCTGTACGACAACAGGCGTCGGAGGCAGTGTGGCACCTGGGCAGGGGGCCCAGGCTTTGGCATCAGGCAGACCTGGCTTCCCATCTTGGCTCTGATGAGTAAGAGCTGTGTGACTTGCAGCAAGTCACTTAACCTCTCTGAGCCTCAGCTTTCTCATCTGTAAAATGGGGACAATAACAGTCTTACCTCCTAGGGCTGTTGGGAGAACTCAACTGCTTCTATATACAGGTCAGGGAGCTCAGAGCAGCCCCTGGTGGGCAACTGTGGTGTCACTGCTCTAGTGTCCCCCTGTCAAACTCCTGGGAACCTGAGCTTCCTGGGAGCCAAATCCATTCAGGAAACCTCTTAGGCAGGCACGTGCACCTCCACTTCACAGAGGAGGAAACTGAGGCCCAGCAAGTGAGGGAGACATGCCCAAGGTCATGTGACTAGTACAACACAGAGCCCGGGCCTGACTCAGGTCTGCCTGTCCCACGCTTCCAGGCACCACGTGTGCACCTCAGTCTCCTGCGGGCGGGCAGGTGCTGCACTCACCTGGAAGTACTGCACAGCCGAGGACTCCTCTGTCCGCTCACTGAACACGGAGCGCTCCAAGGTGTGGCCCCGGCAGGTCTTCAGGATGTTATAGAAGGAACAGAAATCTGGAACGGGGGGCCAGGTCAGCATGGGGCCTGGGCAGGGCGCAGTGCCTGTCTGCTACCCAGCCTGCCTCTCCCGCCCAGGGCACTCAGGACTTGGTGGGGTGCTTCCCCCAAAATGCATGTTTAAATCTAAAGGGAAAGAAGAAGGGCAGGCAAGCCAGCCAATGGGGCGCATACACAAAGCAGTGACTGCGTCCACGGTGGGTGGGCCTGGGGACATCTTCGCTGGTGGACCACACCTGAAAAGGTGCCTGCCATGGCCTGGGCTGCAAACCTCAAGAATCTCCTTAACCAGCCACTGTGCGCCCCACCTCAAAGTCTAGACAGACCTTAGTGACCAAGAGGATAGACCCTGGCAGGGCAGAGGGCAGAGGGTTATGTGTGGCCCTGAATCCATTAGCAAAGAGATCACCTTCCATCAGATCAGATCAAATGAACAGTTTTAATACTGTCTTTAAAAACTTGTATAATAAAAAAAAACTTTTATAATAATACAAAAACTCACAGACTAGAAAAAGACCAGAAGGCTTTACAGGGCCCACTGCTGGTTATCCCTGGGTGAGGTGGGGTGGTACTTTCTTAACTTCAATTTTCCAACAATGAATTTGGATGATTTCTGTTCTTAGACCAAGCAGCAGACTGGCTCTATCAATGGTTGAGCCTGGGGATACATGGGGCCTGGGGGACATTGGTCTGGGTCACCTCCTCCCAGGTGTCCCAGAGGGCAGAATGGTAGGTGGGGACTGCTGGTGTCCAAACACCTCCCAGACCGGCACTCCCTACCCCTTTGGCTGGCACCCACCAAAGCCGCCTCGGGCATCTCCTGGGTCCACATGCACCCCCAGGGCAGCAATCCTCCACCTGCCCCTAAGCCTTCTGTCCTGGCCTTCACTGGCAGCCCTGGGGGCCCCGGAGCTGGGGACCTTAGTGATCAGGACAGGTCTCTGGGGCAGAAGCCGAGGAGGAGGGGCAGTGGGAGCACCCCAGGCAGTGGCCTGGGGACCGAGGCAGGGATGCAGGGGCTGGGCCGTACCGTTGGGTGTGGCGAACTGGATGAGGACGCTGCTGCAGCCCAGGGTGAGGATGAAGGACTGCTTGCCCACGCGGCTGCACTCCGTCTCTTGGGAAACCACGCACTTGAACACACACACATCTTCCTCTGCAGGAGGAGAGAGGCTGGCGTGAGCCGGCATGTCCCAACTTCCCTCCCTTCTCGCTCCAGACCCCTGGATTCTTCGGTGTCGCAGGCTGGGCTGGGGGTTCCCGTCTCCGGAGGCCATGCATCCAGAGGGTCTGGCTGAGCCCAGGAGTCAGGGGGCCCAGCCCTGAAGCAGGGCATCTCTGCAGAGCACCTCTCCAGGGAGCACATCCTGGTCTTTGGGGAGACCCAGGCAGGGCCCCGGAGCCTGGCTGAGGAAGTGCCCTGCTTTGGCACTGCGACCAGAGGGAGCGTGTCAACCAAGGATTCCAAAGACAGCGCCGCTTTCCACCGCTGCTCCTGCATCTCAGCCTCAGTGCTCTCCTCTGTCAAGTGGGGATGGCGAGGAGAGGGGTGCAAGGATCCAGTGGCCTTTTTGCCCTGGGTTCTGACTCACAGCACCCATGACTGTTGGTAGGTGCGTGCCATCAAGTCAGTTCCGAGCTGCAGTGACCCCACATACAACACAGGCCACACTGCCCAGTCCTGGGCCATCCTTACAATTATGCTGTTGGAGGCCACTGATGTAGCTGTGTGGACCCCACAGGGCGAAAGAAGAGAGGTCCATCTTCCTCCCACGGAGCAGCTGGTGGGTTCGAACCTGTGACCTTTGGGTAGCAGTCAAGCCTGTAACCGCTGCACCCCCAGGGCAGTATCACTGGAATGGGGAGGCACCCAGCGACATTAAGTGTGAGCTGTGCGTGAGGCTGTCTGAAATGATCTGGACGTAACAACGGTGCTGGAGGAGAAGGCCGTGGTGCTGAGAAGATCGCGTGAACACAGATGGGGGGGGGGATGCTCACAATGCCAGTACTTGGGGCTCACCAAACAACCAGGAACAAAGCACGGACATGCTCACAGAGCAGCAGGAGGGCAGCAGGGGCAAAACCACCCATCAGGGTGGTCCAACCCCCCTGAACAGCTCAGAGGACACTGAAAAGGAGGAGCAACGTTGGAAGTCTCACACGCCCCAATTTCAAAGCTTAGTAGAAAGCTATAGTAATCAAAAAAAAAAAAAAAAAGAAAGCTATAGTAATCAAAACAGTGTGGTGCTGGCCTAACGATCAATCATGAACCACCGGGTTAAACTTGAGAATCTATAAATAATCTATACATCTACAGCCAAATGATTCTGGACAAAAGTGCCAAGATCTGCCCCTCCCCACAGAAGAATGTACTTTGGAGGACAGCACTGAAACTGGAACTCGGGGAGAGGGACAGGTCTGATCAGAGCACACTGGAGCAAATGAAGGGGGAGGAAGAGAGAGTGGAGCACATCCTGGCCCACC